ATGGACAATAGCTAAGAGGCACTGTTTGATTATTGGTACAGAAGATGTGTAATTATTGATAAGAAATAAATTGGTGCTAAAATACAGCAGACAATTTTCATAGTGCCCCTTTAATGCATTATGATCCTTTTCCACACTGCAATATCATCGTAATGACTTGAGATTGTTCTATTCCTGATTTATAGGTCAGTTGCTTGATTTGGATAAATGGATTAATTTAGCAGTAGAACCAAATCACAGTTAGGATTTCCTAGTGTTTAAAAATATTTGGTCTCATTGTGTAATACAGACAAAAAAACTGACTTTAACTGTCTTACAAATGTGAAAAACAGAACTACTTCATTTTAAACAGTTTACAGTGGTCCATAGTTATTCCTCATTAGCCTCAGGGTCCTAAAAGTCTTAAAAAGGTCTTAAATATCATGCTCCTTATTTAAGACCTTAAGAAGTCTTTGTCCAAGTCTTATTTTTTTCACGAAGGTCTTAAATTTCATTAGCCTATATTTATATACTTAGCCGGGCTGCAGTGCAATGTTAAAATGAGGGAGGAACAAAAAAACATTGTGAAATCACATAACATGAATGAACGTCTAATTTGGAGTATGCGCAAACAATACTTTGGTTTCTGGCGCCGGCGGCAATGAGAAAACAATCAGTACAGTGGAGGAAGACATTAGATGGATCATGGGGAAGTGTAGGTTTAATCCACAGTGACTCTTAGATTTTAGATGTAGTCATTATTAGAATTGGATCTGGTGTTTTTCGTCCGCATAATGGGTGCGATGTTGGTCTTAATTTTAATTTAAGTGGTCTTAAAAAGGTCTTTAAAAGTCTTAAATTTGGAGTAGTCAAACCTGAGGATACCCTGAAGGTACCTTATGCACTCCTAGCATCCTAATCATTCACTGTGATGAGTTTGTAAACACATTTGACAACTTTCAGAGACCAGCGTTTTACCGTCATGGTAAAGCAAACAACAACTAGCATACTAACAGCTCCCTTGCATATACTTGGACAATAAACCACCACCACCACCACCACAATAAACCAAGAATCGGATACATAAATAGAAGAATTTTGACCTCAAAAGCTGCTTGTACATTATATCTGTATGGGGCAAGACACACTTTGCTCAAATACATGGGAAAAACAAACAAAAAAAGGCCCTTTAAGTCACTTTATAAAAGAGATTTGTGAATTTTTAGTTGGATTAGTTTGCTAGATAATGCAAAATGTGTATTGAGTGTTTGTATATTGAACATTCATTGAGTACAACACTTATTTGTCTCTGCATATACTATAGGATTAGGAACTTATAATATACTCTATATCTTTGTGTTAGTTATAATCTCCACTGCGCTGAACAGGAAGAACAGAAGCAGCATTTAGGTGTGTCTTGAGTTCAGAGCCAACTAAAGGAGGATCAATGCTTCTGTCTGCTCTGTCTGACTTTGTGTCTCCTCAGGAAAACTCACTCATTAGTAACTACTAAACTTTGACCAGCTCTATATGACCTGTGCGTGTACATAGTATAACAAAATATTGAACTCCAAAATAAGTTCATGAGAAACTTTCAGAAGGTTGAATTTAAGCTTTTATTTATGAAGAATTTAACTGTGCACAGGGTTTGCCCAAGTACAGTAGAGTAAAATTTGTTTTGCTCCCATACCCATATATGGTGAAAGCAGCTCTTAGGGTTGAAATAAGCCGAGTCCCAAGTATTTTTGCAGCAAATCAGGAAGTGACACTGGTGCATGCTAGTTGTTGTTAGTGTTCTGTCAAAACTCTGTTCTTGCTTCTGAAAACTATGTAACATGCTTATAAACTCGTCACTGTGAATAATTAGGATGTTCAGAATGCATAAAGAAAGTTAGGAACAGGTTTGAAACACTGTAAAGATTAACTTCAAATTTTAAAAGCGAGTTTGAAGTAGACAAAAAGCTCTTATAGGTACATAACTGTCTTGTTAGCTGGTCCTCATGGGTCACTAGCCTGACTAAATTAAACTTGAGCTAAATTAAACCAAAGCCTGACTCATGCTTTAGAGCTTGACTTATTTTGACAGGTTTTTCAACAGTCTCACAGTCACTGCTCTCAACTTTTAATATCCCTCGAGGTGAGTGAGCCTCTGGGTAGAAAAGCAATTTTCCGCTTTAACTTGGTTTGGTTTTCACAGAAGCCAGGACTAAGTATCACGTACAGGGACACACTGTAATGAGCCTCACTCTAGGATAGTGTAGGGGGATGGCTCCAGAAACATTTATTTTCATTTTACTGTGAACAAATTGAAATGGCCAGTTGCCCTTGGATGTGGCCTCATTGGTGACAGACCATAGTCCTTGAGTCACCAGGACAAACAGTAGCCCCAGACAAGAATGAACGAAAGAGTGGATTCAGCGACAAAGTCCGGATCGTTTCTTTTTGTTTCGTGTTTTTTCAGGGTTGTCTTTTGAGCTGTAACTTTTTGAAAACTTTAAAAGCCCTGTACATGATTTTTACAGTCATAAAATGTGAAAACTGAGCTAATTCATTTAAAAGGTTTGCAGTGGTCCAAAGTTTTTTCTCACTTCCTATTCCTCACATCCTAATTATTCAACCCGATTTAGTTTGTCCTTGCTTTTCACAACCTTCCAAGGCAGAGTGGAGTTTTACTGTCACGATAATGCCAACTACAACTAGGATGATAACCACGCACTCCCTGATTATTACATTAAACAATTAAAAACAGTACACAGTGGACATATTCTGACCTAAGCTGCTCCTTGTAAGATTTAAGATGAGGCAAAGCTCAAATAAATGGAAAAAAAAAATCTGGTCCAAACAATTAAACTAACATTACAATTCACACAGCAACAGTCTCTTACATTTCATTATTTTTAAAGCCATAATCTGTATCTATTTATTTTTCTATGCTTTATTTGATACAACAGTAGTGTGAAATTGGGGTGAAAAGTGAAGCAAACATTTTGCAAATTGTTGCAGCCGAGACTCAAACTCACGCTGCTGAGTCTGGCACAAAGCCTAGCACCTGTCAAACCCCATGGTCCTAGTATTACTTGTATTTTAAATTAAAGTAGGCATTCAAATAGATACTGCACTTTTGGCCTGCCACGAAAATTACTATATCGACTTTTGCTCAATACATGATAGATGAAACAATATATTTTGGGGGTCAGAATTTATCTTATGTATATTTCCTTTGCACCACTTGGAAATTTGTGGGTATTTTTTTGGCTATATGATAAGATTTAAGCTGTAAAAAAGTTGAATAAATCGCTTGTATGTCTCATTACAGACTCAAACTAAGTATTAAAGTCTTTCGTTCTACTGTTTTGTTTTGTTTTTTAAACCAAAAGTGTATATATAGAATAGTCTTTGTGGTTTAAATCAGTCGCACTTTAAAATTCGTTATCGTGACTCCTGCCGTACTTTGCTTGTTATAGCAGTTTTATGTAGTTTCCAGCACATTAATTAGCAGTGCAATTATCAGTCAAAAATGAACTTTCTCTTTACATACTCTGAAATTTTAAATGTTGAGGCATATATTGGGCTTTTGTACTGTTTTCACCTGCAAAGCAAAGGATTATAGGCTCTCGGCAAACCACCTTGCCCTGGTGATGTATGCAGTTTTAAGATAGAGTAATCTTCTTCCTGTTTGAGCCGGGACAAGGCCGCTAAGGGAGGTAGTAATGGAAAATACAATTGGTTTTCCCCATGCTTAAGTAGTCCACATATTTCCACAGTTCCAGATATGAGGCCCGGTTTGCAAAATCAAGCAAGTTCTCTATAAGACATGACTTCAATATTTCAGACAATAAAAAATTCTATCTGGCAATGACTAGACACATTTTGTGCTTTTGTGTTTCGTCCCGTAATTACACAGTCTACGCTGATAACTGACTGAGCCCAACTAGATTAAAGGGAAAGTTTCTGCTTTGGTAAAACATTGAAATTGGAAGCTTGTTTACTTCTTTTCAAAGCCTATTAAAGCCTGTTGTATTTGAATAGAAAGCCGTAAATTGGCACTCTCGTAGAGTTTATGAGTCCCCAGACAGTATTTTTTGTTTAGCCGTTAAGCTAACTATGTAGTGTTTTCTTGGTATTTTCATTTCCTAGGTACTACACATCTTTTTCCTATTGCTTATCTAAGCATGAGATTGGATGGTAATTACACTGCACACAATTGCTAATTTCCTATTTTAACATAAGCTTTCTACGTTCCAAAAGCAAATGGAAGTTGGGTATATTGGATACAAGTTATGGTATTTTCATTGCAAAAATATATTTTTAACATAATGTCATTATTATAATCTTGTAATTGGATGTGGTTCACCTATGTAAAATAGGGATTGGCTCATGTGAATTTTATGAGCCGATACCAATATGGCCTCTTGCTGTGGTATTTACAGATGCCAGTATTTAGCTTTTTTTTTTTTTTTTATCTCACCATGGCCCATAAAAATGATCTTAAATTGAAGTAAAGATCACAACTAAAGTTTTTACTTTTACCAAAATAATAACAGCAATATAACACTCTTCTATTTCCATTGTTACTCATTAGTCTGATCAAGACAAATTTATACTCTGAGGATAAATCTGGGACTGAGACATGGCCACACAGAGAATGGGACAGTTTGATGAACTATCTGTATTGAATATTAATATTTGCCAATACCTGTTTAATAAATTGGTATTGAACTTGCCCTGTATTGATGCTGGAACCAATATATCGCCCATCCCTTTAAAACATGATTGTCAACTTAGTAAACCATGACAAAAAGTCAAGTACAAATTTTACAATCTAAGGAATAATAAAACAATGACAACAATAACAGATTTTAACAAGTGTTTGTTTTTAGAGTTATTTCAATTAAAAGTTCAGCTTTTAAAACACAGACACCCTCAAACCCAGTTGGCCAGGATTGTTTCCTGATGTTTATCTTAATGAAGCCATGTGCCTAGCTCACTTCCTCCTATTAAAGCCTGCTCTGCCCTCACAGGTACATGATGCTCATCAACGGAAAAAACCACGTGTTCATGGTCGACAGAGACAACAGCATCTTCCACATAGACAACTTAGAGTTCCCCTACCGCAAAGATCCTCGGGTCCACCTCTCCAACACACTGCTGGATGGGGTAAGTCAAGATACTTCTTTATTAAATATTGTACATGTGATCTTTGGCTGCTTGTCTTTTGTTAATGAAAGGACTAATACAATCATTTCAATAATGTTATCTCCAGTTGAACTGTAACACGGTTATTTTGAGTGGCACTATTGCTGTTAATTTAAATGGCAATGAATCTGATATTTCAATTCTAATTTACTGTTTTGTCATTGAAGTAGTGAAAAGAAGAGCTCAAAGCTCATTATTCATTCACTCCACACTCCAAACAGCTACTATTATAACCTTAGCTGCCCTGGGGCAGACTGATGGAAGCAGGGCGCCAATCTGCACCATGGGTGAAGTGCCTTGCCACAATGGCAGAACTGTCAAAGCGGATTGATTATCTGACCTTCGGGTTGGGGACCACTGCTTTAACCACTGAGCCACTGTCACCCTATAAAGTAAAGTTGCATAAAGCAATTTCAATATTATAATTTACTGTGATATTTTTATTTAGCGATATATTGCACCTCAAAATGTGCCTACTCACATAGATAGATAAAGATTAGGTTAAGGTTAAGGTACACTTTATTGTCCTAGTAGGAAAATTTGTCCTCTGCATTTGACCCATCCTTTAATGTCACTGAGGCATCTCGTCAAGAGCAGTGAGGACCGCAGTGCAGCGCTTGGGGATCCATCTCCGTAATCTTGTTCTTGGCTTTATCAGGACGTCCTGCTTGCTTAGTTAAAAAAATGCAACCAAGCTTTTATTCTTTAATGTCCTCTTATCTAAGAAAAAAGGGAAAAATAAACACTGACAATAAATTACTCAACATTTTAGTGTCTTTACAACCTTTTATTCCCCCTACAGTTACCATCTCCCCCCAAAACAGAGCCGACTCTGCCAAACTGCCAATGTCCCCGAGTGCTGACATTGGACTTGTCTTATCTAAAACGCTCTCCTCTCTCATAGCCCCCATCTGTCAGAGCTGGCTTGTTCTCCCTCGCATCCTGGAGAAATGGCACCACTGAAATGCCATCCCTCTACATCTCCGCCTGTTGTGTGTCTTGGCAGTGGTACCTGGAGACTTATGGCCTTGTAAAATCCTGAGCTCAGACATTTATTGACACGTCCACGTAGTGTAGGTCACCGTGGGTCCCTCCCTCAGGTGTTGGATGAGTCACCCGCTCTCCCCAACTCAAAAAGCTTTCCGGAAATTGCTGGCCATCTTGTAGTCGCGTTTGATTAGATTGTAGCCAGCCTCATTGCCTCTGTCCTCCTCCCGGTGCTCGCGACAGATGACAGATGAGCTACTTGTCATTCTTTTCAGCTCTTTTTAGCCCTGTAAGGTTGTTACAGCAAGAATAGTGTTGACAGTGACGAGCGGCCAGAGAGGAGTGGAAGCAAAATATTATGACCACAGACAGGTGAAATGTTGACAGGGTGGAACTTTATTGATACACATACACAATAAAGTGCAGATAGGAAAAGGACAAAAACAAACATGCAATCAGTATAAAGATAAGAGTAAGGACTGACCAGTATATAAGGAATAATACTTAAAAACAAACTCAAATTCAAATTTAATTGTTTGGAGGATAAACCCCTTGAGATTTCTTGCCATCTCATTTTCGAGGGGGTCCTCGTAGTTACAATAACAAAGACAGATACAGTAGGGCAGACAGTAGGCTACATAAATTCAAATAAACATCAAAACAACAAAATCAACACACACACACTCACACTTGACTGTTAGACACATAATAAATCAAATTTGAACAAGTTCAAATACAGTCAAAAAATGCTACAAGATGAACAGCAAAAGTCAACAAAATTACTAAAAACAATTATGCGGGATATGTAAATATTGAACCAGAGCAAAACTTTGGGGGCTTTGGATAACTTTGGATATACAAAATTGTGCAGAAATATATTTGTACTTTTTGAGTGACTCAGTTTTTTCAATGTTGCATCGAACCGGAGCATTTTTAAATGAAGGGACAGAAGTTAATGCACAAATCGAAGAGGGAAGATTACTCCAATCAGAAGGAGCTTTATATTTAAACGAGTGTTTCCTATTTGTTTTTTGACTCTTGGGACAACACAAAATATCTGATCTGCGTGACGTAAACTGTATACTCAGGATAACTGAGATTAATGCATTTAAAGATAAATAATAAGCAGTGAAGTTGACGTCAGGAGGACAGAGTGAGCAGGACAGTTGGTGGAACATCACATAGTGGTGAGTGCTGAAGGGACAGCGGAGAATGAATCTGCACACTGTTATAAATAACATTGAGTATTTGGAGGATAGAAGTGGTAGTATTTAGATAAATTATATCACTGCAATCTAAAATGGGAAGAATTAATTGTGAGATCATCTTTTTCCTAACAGAAAAACTAAAACAACTGATGGACTGACAAAGTAAGCGGTATGAAAAAATGTGTCTGTAGATATGTAGTTCAAATCAAATATAGCTTTAACAATTCTAATGCTAATTTATTTTTAATTACAAAAAACATTGAGCTAAGGGCCAAGTTGTTGTTATATGTTGGTGTTTTGGTTCTGAAGGTGATTATCAGAAAGCAGAATGAACCTCACATGAGCTAGTTTCAATGCTGAAATCTGGTTGATTTAAACCTAAAAAGACCCTATCACCTGCAGCCAATCATTAAGCAGTGTCTCTGACCTTTTCCAAAGATCGGCACAAGGAACTGCACTTTAAATAGGTGTGTTTGGCTGCTCATGTGGTATATATGGTGATGCTTCTTTCCACACAGACTAGACTCTTAATTGCAGCCTATTAGCATGACGTTTGAAGCATTTTTCCTTGATACACAATAAGATGGCCACCAGCTTTGTTTTGACTGGTGTTTATTCATCTGTTGATGTTTCTGGCAAAATGTGTCTTTAGCCGTGTAAAATGACCCCCGAAGATGCCATGTTGAGAACCAGCTGCATTGCCAGATATGTTTCATCTTGAGCCCAAAGGCGTGCTCTTTGTTTCAGCCTCTTCTCTGGAGTACAATGCTTAATGAGCTTCACGTTGCAGTGGTATCCTGAGAAATGCAGACCGAATTCCTGGCGGCCTCCTTTGGTCCTAATAATATATTCATTTGCTGTTTCTGTGTCTGTGCAGTGGTTCGATGCATGCATAATGATTTGATTTCATTAACAGCGCCCCTCCCTGTGGGCGAGTCGTGTCTGCTCTGCCCTCTCCAATGGCCCGGCTTTGGCAACTCAAACATGTGTATTGAAAAAGACACCATATTGTCCAATTATGGGAGCTAGCAGAGAGGCGAAATTCATGCAAAGAAGCAGATGTTCAAACAGGAATGGACCAGGCAATTGCTGCTGCAGTGAGAGAAACAAATTAAACCTATTTTGGTAAATCAGTCATTTGTGCCTCTGTTCACATGTTTGAAAGTTCTCAAAATTATTTTATTTTACTTATACAACACAAATAGTATTTCATTTTAAAATATGTATTTTACAGTGTTAAAAGACATTTTAACCTAACTGGTGCACCTTTTTGTGTTCATAATTATTGCAACTTTGTCTGTATTCTGTCCACAGCCTTGTTTGGTAAAATTGAAATTCTCTCTGGTCGTTTTACCTTAAGGCTATTGTCTTTTTTTTCTGGGCTCAGTCAAAACTGCATTAAATTTTAAAATTCACATATCTCAAAATAAGAAAAAAAGAAAAGGAAAAAAAATGACACTATAACCTGAGACTTACTTTTGCCTCTCTGCAATTCACTATCTGCTGAATAATGAATGCTCTGAAAAGATAGAAGAACATGTTCAACTAAGTGTCTAATCAGTTGAGTGTGGGCTATTTTCTGTGTGTCATTAGTAGTATTTCCTTTGGCGGTTGGTAACAGTCATGCTTTATGGGCCTGCCGCTGCACCTGACTCGACTCCAGAGCTCTGCATAATAGATGTGCTGCTATTTCTGCTTGTGCTAGTCACACATGCTCACAGCAGCTCCTCCTCACCGCTGCAGGCATCTTTCAAAGTACTGTATGTCCCCAAGAGAGGCCCCTCCCACTGAGCCACTACACACGGTTGCCTTTGAATTAGCCATACATAGAGGTGTATGAAAGACTAGGTATGGCGTAACAGTTAGATTTTGTGCTGTGATGCTGTGATGGACAATAAATTGAGTTGTAGACCATAATAAAAAATTAAAAAAAGGTTGGAGATGGGAAAAAGGATCACTTTACAATATCTGAACCTTAATTAGTCTTAATAAAGCATAAACAAAGATTTGCAGGATGAACAAATAGTGTATTAAAAATTCTTAAAAACTTAATGAAGGAGTTGGGGTTAGGAGTTTTAGGAGTATTAATTAATTAGATAATAGGATACCGTGGAAATAGGATGTTCTCCATCAGATAAATGGGTTGTGTGCCATATTGTGTAAGATTATAGACAAAGCATTTCCATGGAAACAAGCAGAACAAGGACCTCCTCCAGGCCAAATAAGAGACAGGTTTATGGAGATTGATCATTCTTAATAAACAATTTTTTCATGTTGAGCTGTTTGAAGTTTGTTTATGCTATATTATGGCTATAATTACTGCTGCAACTACAAATGTATGTAATTATTAGGGCTGGGTGTCATTCAGAAGTTGCTGATACAATACATACCTCAATACATAGGCCACCATATGATACAAATCTCGATACGATTCAACACAATAGCTTTCAAATCGATTCGATACCGTTCAATAAATAATAAAGGCTAAATCATCATTGTTTAACCACTTCTTGTGCAAAGTTCATATGAAACGCAAACATTTTCATTGTCAAAATAGTTAAAATATCAAATGTGTCACAAAAACAAGTTTACTTTCTCTGAACAAGCAGCAAAACTGTAGCGCTGTAGTAAAATATACCAAAAAATACTCATGGCGATATATCAATATAGCAGTCCATGGTATCGATACTGTATCATCACATTAAACTATAAGCTATATCGATATATTTCAATATTTTTGCACACCCCTAGTAATTATTATAAAATAATATCGAAAATGCTAGTTTAGAAAAGTTTTACAAATTAAACATAAAACAAACTTGCAGTAATGTTATGTTATACTTTCACCTTTCACTTATTGTGCTACTACAGCTTCAAACAAGTCAAGGTTTTAGCACATTTATGATTTTAAATTGCCTGAATATGAATTGCCTGAATAGATGATAAAAGAAAAACAATGTATTATTTTTTGTACCCCTAAGATCTTGTGAGTGATGTGAGTTAATTTGCTATTCCAAATATTGATCAATTACAAACTCGCTGTTTTCACCACATTGCATCCTACATCTGCCCTCTGAGTAGTTTGTAAGTGTTTTCATCTTAAATCTTAGAGAAAAATGTTAGGATTGGTAATGTTTCCTTTTTGTAAACTGTCCAGCCCCATATATTTCTGTACATAAATGTGTTATTTTGTCTGTTACTCACCCCGACAGTCTCTGTTAGTATTCTTTTTATTACTCTGAATAGAAAGTCCGTCATTAAAATAATTGCAATATATTTGTGTGTGATTTAGTGTCCAATTTGCTGGTCCGTTTCCAGCCCTATCGTCCATCTGTACACTGGGAAGCCTTGACCTGACTTTCATGTTTATGTTGCAGGAAATGATCATTGACAAGGTGAACGGTCAGCCAGTGCCTCGCTACCTGATCTACGACATCATCAAATTCAATGTGAGTATCCTGGCCTTTCCACATCGCGTTATCTTTTCTGTGACCTACTCTGGAAATGAGATCACAAATGTGCATGGAACAAGTGCTAAAAGTCAATGGTCTATGTATGGAGGGGAAGAGAAACAATATATGAATTGCTGTAGTTTAGGTTTAGTTTAGTTGAATTAAGGATGGCCTATTAAAACCTCTGTACCATTTTATTAATTTGTGCAAAAGTTCTCTTGACCCACTAGATTGTACTGGCAGCTCTAGAGGTCAAAATACGTCTACTGCATGTTGTCTGCATCTAATTATTATTATTAGTTGTTGTCAGCCTTGTTACAGCCTTGTTAATTGTGAAAAGTGCGTATAAACTCATTGGTGTGAATAATTAGGATGCTCAGAATGCATAAGGTAAGTGATTAAGTTACTTTGGACCACTGCAAACCATTTAAAATTAACTAGTTCTGTGTTCAGCACCTTTTATCAAACTGAAATTGAGATTTACTTGATAATATTGTTTTTTAAATTTTGTTTTTAATAACACAAAATTAAACTGATCTCAAAATTCAATCAGCCCTTTGAGAGAACAGATGGAAATGAGCCTTTTTTGGCTATAATCCGGTTGTTCATGTCTGCTTATTAATCAAATAATTAAATCAAATAAATTCAATAAATAAAAATGTGATCAATGATGAAAAAGAAAATCTTGGTGAATGATTTTGCTCTGCCTTAATTTGAATCCATGGTATCTTTCTTTTGACATTTTCTTAATTAAGCCATTGGAGCAGCTCAGATATTTTAGATGGGAGTTAATTGGCTATTCCAAATATTCATCAATTACAAACTCACAACTCACAGTTTTCACCACATTGCATCCTACATCTGCCCTTTGAGTAGTTTATGAGTGTTCTCTACTTTTTCATCTTAAATCGTAGAGAAAAATGTTTGCTATTGGTAATGTTCCCTTTTTGTAAACTCTGCAGCCCCATGTATTTCTGTACATAAATATGTTTACAATACATTTTTGATATTCAACATTTTCAGCCAAACAATTTGGTAAATTGCTGTCATTCTTACCTTTCAGCTGCTTCACGTTGCCCTCAGCCTGACCCTTCCTTTGGTCCACTGTAGCCTCTCGCTGCCCTCTCACAACTGCAAAATGTGTGAATGTCTGTTATTACTGTATGCAATTTTACCCCGAACATCAAACCCCATAAAAGAAGTTTACAAACTGTACGCTGCACAGAAATAGCACATTTGGCTCTGGTAGTTACGTCACTTTGTCCGTATTGGAGAGTGGAGCATTTTTTTTACTTAAAATGAAGATGACTTTTAGAAAATATTTAGATTTGGATTCAGTTAAACTACTAAAAATACAATAACATACTAATACTTTACATTATTAATTGTACAATTGTATTGTATTGTATCAGAATAACACAATGAGTAAAATCTGTCAATGTAACAAAGCAAATTTCATTTCCGTAACTGTAGCTAAATGCAGCTTTATATTTCTATTGAATCACCTTGTTAAGTTTGACAGCAGACATTTCGCCTCCCCAAGCTGTCCTTTGTGTGCGAGGAGCCTGATGTGGACTGGGATTAGATTTCTCTCAGACCTGAAAATCCAATCGGTGCCTGGGCTCCGGTGAGGTTAGCTCAGGCAGCTCTGCGCTCCTTTGTGATGACAGGCTTTTGTCAGACTGCTGCTCGCCCTGACCCTGCAGCATGTCACGCATCTGCTCCACTCCAAACTGTTGTCTAAACTCAGTGCAGGGTTTACATGGCTAACGTCACATTAGAGAGATCTACTTCAGATATCAAATAAAACTTTAAGAACTATTAGAACATGCATTTTTTAACCATTTATTTAAGCAACAACAAGTGAAACAACACAATATTAAACTTCTAGGGGGTATTCATTGTTAACACATAACATGTTTAGTTGGGACATAACAATAACTGAAATATCGTGATATCGTACTGTCAAAAGTCTCATAACAATGTCGTGGACTGTCACAGTATATCGAATCACAAGTTCCTTTGCTTAAATGCATGGTTTTATAGCAGCAACAGCTTATAAACATAGGGAACTACATATCCCATGATTCATTTCAGTGCAGACAACATGAAGAAATATGTTTTTTACTTGAATTCTTGCAATTATGATGGTAATAATTCACACCAAAATCTTGTCAAGGTAATTTAAAAGCAAAATAGTGTCCCATCTACAATTATATAAGCCTCTTCAAAATATTGCAATAAATATCATACCATGAGATTTTGATCTAATGTTTAGATCACCATGTTACCTTTTTGTTTTGAAAATGCTATGTTCACTGAAAACAACATATTACAATCTTAAATTACTTAAAATCAGCACTATATTACTCCCCCTTCAGAACGCTATCACATTACAATTGGTGTGCATCCCCCTAATGAAACTTTTATCACATCAGGCTTGTGAAGTTGTAGTGTATTATTTTGTATCTTGCTTGTAGGCTGAGTTGTTGTTGTACTGCTAACTGTAAAGAGGGTTCAAATAGTGCTCTGGAGAGATCGCAAGATGACTCAAACCTGCATAAATGACATACAAAACCCCTTCAGGCATGTTTTTGGTGAGGGAATAACATTGGTAGAAAGCTTCAAAAAGTCAATTTTGCATATTAGCCCCTTTTTTTAATGCACTGCAATATAATTTTACTCATGATGTTATTCTTTAAAAGCAATGGAAAAAAGGAAAGGACACTCCCAGATTAACTCGCTTAGGCTCAAACATTAACATATTGATCTCATTTCCATTTTTTAATATCATGAGAGCCCTAAAATGAACTGAACTTTACGCATTTCCATTGATGTCATTGCGGACTTGACACGAAACCGATTACTGTATTACCCCACCATAAGCAAGACCTCTGATAATTGCCCCTGTGCATGCGTGCGTGTGAAATTGCTTTAATATTGTTGGTGGGCGGCAGAATCGCTCCAACCGTCGGCATTATTTTGACGTGGCCGTTTTCTTGGGAACAGCCTGAGGACAGCGTTACAAGGCTGTTAATTGCTAACACTTCTCCAAACTGTAAATGAATTCCTCCCTTCAGCTCATCTGCATGCTGCTAACGGCCAACACGCAGACCGCAAAGGACACGCTCGCTCCAGCACAGCCACTGTCAAAATGCTCAAAGCTGCTCTGCTTTAAAAATGAACGCCAAATTATACACACAAAACCATCCTTTTTCACTTTTCAGTCTCCGTCTTTCAATACCCACAAGAACATCGTGAACTGCTCGCTTTTATTTGATTAAAAATCGCCAATCTGAATCCAAATTTTAATATGCTGTAGCAAATTGAAGTTCACAGCTTACCATAACTGTGATTTTTAGAATTGGACCATGCTGCTAGTTCCTCGTATTTGTTGCGTGGCACATGTAGACTTTCACACCAACTGGGGTCCTCTAGTGTGTAGATTTTTCTGACTCACACCAATAATGACATTTTGAATTGATTTTACTGAGGACTGCAAGACTAATCACAATGGAATCAAAATTGCAATTTGTATGGACACAATTAGTAAACCACAAAGTCTGCAATTTAGTAGTACCATTATCCTTGTTTTCTTCACAAATAACAAAATATTATTTATTAAAGTAGTGTGTTAAAGCTGCTAAAAATGTAGTTTAGACCACGTCAATTATCATCTTGGAATACGACTCATTTAGTCTTTTTGTCAGTTCTCTTAAACAAGTTTATAATGCTTGTCAGAAACTTTTTTTTTTTTTCTCCCCAATCGTGCAGCAACTGAAAGAAAAAAACTTTATACCGATTTTTGAAACCACAATGAAGAAAATAGAAGTGTGGTCTCTGTAACACAAATTTTGAGCCAACCAGACCATTCTAAAACTACTCAGAAACTCCATCTTTGACCTATTTATTCCAGCAAGATTGACTAATTTTGATACTAATTTTCGAATCAATTAGTATAGTAGTATTGATTTCCTTGCTACATACTTAACAGGCTAGGATTTCCGAGGCCTAATATAGAAGACATCCGCAAGCAAGTATTCCAAACCAGGAACTAAGGTCGTTTTCACACCGCTAGTTCGATTATTTGGTCCGCACCAGGCAATAAAATTGTTATTATGTAGCAAATACACTCCAGTGTGGTCCGCTTTCACACCGGCAAACAAACCAAAACTGGTTCGATTCACGTGTCTCTGTTTCCCCGGTAAAACCGCGATACCTCCAGTTATCAACACCGATGTTCCTGTTAATACCACGGGCCATCCTCATCTCAAATTATCACCATGAACTCATAAAACAGCAACATGTAGAACTTTGTACAAACTCACCGCATCAGCCCAGAGTTCAGGTAACAGCAGCAGCCAACAGCTCCTCAGGACGGGGCTGGGGTCTGGTCCTTGGTCTGTTACAAGCGCGTTGGTCAGATGGTCCGGAGGCTTCATCCTCCATGTGCTGGTTCCAAACAGTGGCGAGCAAGACCAGTGCGCAATGACTGGGTCTGAGCGGGTACGTTCCGTCGTCTGCGCGCTGTTTCCGTGCGGGAAAAGCAAGAATGCGCTGTGGACTACAGGTCCGGGCGCGCTGCTCCGGTTCTCCGCGCTCAAGAACCACGGCTGGTTCCGAGGTGGTGCAGCATCCGGACAGAAGCGTGAGTCCAGTTTGGTTTGTTATATGTTGTTCTGAGCGTCCGTCCTCCGCGCATTTGGTTCTTCCCGGGGAAAGCGCTTCCTCAGGTCGAGGCTCCCCGCTCCAGCTCCTCTGAGCCCGGACTGAACCGGAGCTGCCCCCGCTGGTTCGGGACTCTGGTTTGGATCTAGTCCGACTGTATTTCTCACACTAGGCTAAAAGCAGGGACTTTTTCAAGTTGTATCAATTGAATGGGCGATTGCCTATTGCCGTAAAATTATTTGGTTAATTAAAGCCTAAAATAACAAATGTTGGTTGCTGTGTGATCACGGGGAACACCGGGTCGTCTCTGTGCGTGTAGGTCCCGAACA